TATAGTATTATTACTAGAAAGTTTCTGGCGAGTTTGATCTATTTTAAATCAATGTGTCTACAAAAAAGTACGAATGCAAAAAAGTTTTAACGAATTCTTCCCGCAAGTGTTCGACCATGAGCATCGTTTGCATTTGGTTTCAGATTCTCAACGCCAATCGCTTTCCCTAAAGATAACCCCAACCCTAAACCTAGGGTTAAGCTTAGGGTTAGGGTAAGGGCTAGCTTGGAGTCACTTCCAGGATAAAAATGTTTTCATCCACACAAGTTTGAAAGATTTTCCCTGGACGTCTACGTTGATAGTCATGTTTTGCATTTGGTTTCAGATTCTCAACGCGTATCGTTTTTCCAGGAGTTAACCCCAACCCTAACCCTAAGGTTAAGGTTACGGTTAGGGTTAGGGTTAGCTCGGGATCAGTTCCAAGATAAAAGATGTTTGATCCTCACAAGTTTTAAAGATTTTAGCCCAGAAGTCTTTGACGATACTCATCTTTTGCATTTGGTTTCAGATTCAAAAAGCTTATCGTTTTCCCAGGAGTTAACCCCAACCCTAACCCTAGGGTTAAGCTTAGGGTTAGGGTTAGGATTAGCTTGGTGTCACTTCCAGGATAAAAATTTTCTCGTTTACACAAGTTTTAAAGATTTTTCCCTGAACGCCTACGAAGGTACTAATCTTTTGCATTTGGTTTCAGATTCTTAAAGCTTATCGTTTTCCCAGGAGTTAACCCCAACCCTAACCCTAGGGTTAAGCTTAGGGTTAGGGTTAGGGTTAGCTTGGAGTCACTTCCAGGATAAAAATTTTTTTAGTTTAAACGAGTTTTAAAGATATTCCCTGAACGTCTACGACGATACTAGTCTTTTGCATTTGGTTTCAGATTCTCCAAGCTTATCGTTTTCCCACGAGTTAACCCCAATCCTAACACTAGGGTTAAGCTTAGGGTTAGGGTTAGGGTTAGCTTGGAGTCACTTTCAGGATAAACATTTTTTTCGTCTACACAACTTTTAAAGATTTTCCCTGAACGTCTACGAAGATACTAATCTTTTGCATTTGGTTTCAGATTCTCCAAGCTTATCGTTTTCCCAGGAGTTAACCCCAACCCTAACCCTAGGGTTAAGCTAAGGGTTAGGGTTAGGGTTAGCTTGGAATCACTTCCAGGATAAAAATTTTTTCGTCTAAACAAGTTTTAAAGATATTCCCTGAACGTCTACAACGATACTAATCTTTTGCATTTGGTTTCAGATTATCAACGCTTATCGTTTTCCCAGGAGTTAACCCCAACCCTAACCCTAGGGTTAAGCTTATGGTTAGGGTTAAGGTTAGCTTGGAGTCACTTCCAGGATAAAAATTTTTTCGTCTACACAACTTTTAAACATTTTCCCTGAACGTCTACGAAGATACTAATCTTTTGCATTTGGTTTCAGATTCTCAAAGCTTATCGTTTTCCCAGGAGTTAACCCCAAACCTAACCCTAGGGATAACCTTAGGGTTAGGGTTAGGGTTAGCTTGGAGTCACTTCCAGGATAAAAATTTTTCGTCTAAACAAGTTTTACAGATATTCCCTGAACGTCTACGACGATACAAGTCTTTTGCATTTGGTTTCAGATTCTCAACGCTTATCGTTTTCCCAGGAGTTAACCCCAACCCTAACCCTAGGGTTAAGCTTCGGGTTAGGTATAGGGTTAGCTTGGAGTCACTTTCAGGATAAAAATTTTTTCGTCTAAACAAGTTTTAAAGATATTCCCTGAACGTCTACGACGATACTAATCTTTTGCATTTGGTTTCAGATTCTCCAAGCTTATCGTTTTCCCAGGAGTTAACCGCAACCCTAACCTTAGGGTTAAGCTTAGGGTAGGGTTAGGGTTAGCTTCGAGTCACTTCCAAGATAGAATTTTATTCGCCTAAACAAGTTTTAAAGATATTCCCTGAACATCTACGACGATACTAATTTTTTCATTTGGTTTCAGATTCTCAACGCTTATCGTTTTCCCAGGAGTTAACCCCAACCCTAACCCTAGGGTTAACCTTAGGGTTAGGGTTAGGGTTAGCTTGGAGTCACTTCCAGGATAAACATTTTTTCCTTTACACAAGTTTTAAAGATTTTTCCGTGAACGCATACGAAGATCCTAATCTTTTGCAGTTGGTTTTAGATTCTCAACGCTTATCGTTTTGCCAGGAGTTAACCCCAACCCTAACCCTAAGGTTAAGCTAAGGGTTAGGGTTAGGGTTAGCTTGGAGTCACTTCCAGGATAAACATTTTTTCCTTTACACAAGTTTTAAAGATTTTTCCGTGAACGCATACGAAGATCCTAATCTTTTGCAGTTGGTTTTAGATTCTCCAAGCTTATCGTTTTCCCAGGAGTTAACCCCAACCCTAACCCTAGGGTTAAGCTAAGGGTTAGGGTTAGGGTTAGCTTGGAGTCACTTCCAGGATAAAAATTTTTTCGTCTACACAACTTTTAAACATTTTCCCTGAACGTCTACGAAGATACTAATCTTTTGCATTTGATTTCAGATTCTCCAAGCTTATCGTTTTCCCAGGAGTTAACCCCAACCCTAACCCAAGGGTTAAGCTTAGGGTTAGGGTTAGGGTTAGCTTGGAGTCACTTCCAAGATAGAATTTTATTCGCCTAAACAAGTTTTAAAGATATTCCCTGAACGTCTACGACGATACTAATTTTTTCATTTGGTTTCAGATTCTCAACGCTTATCGTTTTCCCAGGAGTTAACCCTAACCCTAACACTAGGGTTAACCTTAGGGTTAGGGTTAGGGTTAGCTTGGAGTCACTTTCAGGATAAAAATTTTTTTCGTCTACACAACTTTTAAAGATTTTCCCTGAACGTCTACGAAGATACTAATCTTTTGCATTTGGTTTAAGATTCTCCAAGCTTATCGTTTTCCCAGGAGTTAACCCCAACCCTAACCCTAGGGTTAAGCTAAGGGTTAGGGTTAGGGTTAGCTTGGAGTGTCTTCCAGGATAAAATTTTTTTTGTCTATACAAGTTTTAAATATTTTTCCCGGAACTCTACGACGATACTAATCTTTTGCATTTGGTTTCAGATTCTTCAAGCTTATCGTTTTCCCAGGAGTTGACCCCAACCCTAACCTTAGGGTTAAGCTTAGGGTTAGGGTTAGGGTTAGCTTGGAGTCACTTCCAGGAGAAAATTTTTTTCGTCTAAACAAGTTTTAAAGATATTCCCTGAACGTCCACGACGATACTAATTTTTTCATTTGGTTTCAGATTCTCCAAGCTTATCGTTTTCCCAGGAGTTAACCCCAACCCTAACCCTAGGGTTAAGCTTAGGGTTAGGGTTAGGGTTAGCTTGGAGTCACTTCCAGAATAAAAATTTTTTCGTCTAAACAAGTTTTAAAGATATTCCCTGAACGTCTACGACGATACTAATCTTTTGCATTTGGTTTCAGATTGTCAACGCTTATCGTTTTTCCAGGAGTTAACCCCAACCCTAACCCTAGGGTTAAGCTTAGGGTTAGGGTTAGGGTTACCTTAGGGTCACTTCCAGGATAAAAAATTTTTTTGTCTATACAAGTTTTAAATATTTTTCCCGGAACATCTACGACGATACTAATCTTTTGCATTTGGTTTCAGATTCTCAACGCTTATCGTTTTCCCAGGTGTTAACCCCAACCCTAACCCTAGGGTTAAGCTTAGGGTTAGGGTTAGGGTTAGCTTTTGGGTCACTTTCAGAATAAATATTTTTTCGTCTACACAAGTTTTAAAGATTTTTCCTTGAACGTCTACGACGATACTAATCTTTTGTATTTGGTTTAAGATTCTCAACGCTTATCGTTTTCCCAGGAGGTAACCCCAACCCTGTCCGTAGGGCTAAGCTTAGGGTTAGCTTGGGGTTACCTGCAGGATATAAAATTGCCATCTACATAAGTGTTAAAGATTTGTCCCTGAACGTCTACGACGATACTCATGTTTTGCATTTGGTTTCAGATTCTCAACGCTCATCGTTTTCCCAGGAGTTAACCCCAACCCTAACCCTAGGGTTAAGCTTAGAGTTTGGGTTAGGGTTAGCTTGGGATCACTTCCACGACAAAAAATTGTTTATCTTTACAAGCTTTTAAGATTTTTCCCTAGAAGTCTTTGACGATACTCATCTTTTGCTTTTGGTTTTAGATTCCCAACGCTTATCGTTTTTCCAGGAGTTAACCCCATACCTAACCCTAACCCTTACCCTAGCCATTGGGTAAGGGTTAGGGTTAACTCAGGTTAAAATTATTAGCGTTGAGAATCTCAAACCAAATGCAAAAGATGCGTACTTCCAAGACGTCTAGGGAAAATTTGTTAAAACTTGTTAGGATAAAAAATTTTCGATCCTGGAAGTAAAACTACGCAGTCTCTCTCTTACCCTAACCCCAATGCGAGGGTTAGGGTTTGGATAACTCCTGGGAAAGATTGGCGTCCAGAATCAGAAAGCAAATGCAAAAGATATGTATCGTCGAAGACTTCTAGGGGAAAATCATTAAAACTTGTCAGGCAAAAATTTTGGATCTTTGAAGTAAAACTAAGCTAACCCTAACCAAACCCTAGGGTTAGGATTAGGGTAAAACTAAGTTAACCCTGACCTTAGGGTTTGGTTATGGTTAGGGTTAGCTTAGTTTTACTTCCAGGATAAAATCCTTTTTAATCTAACTCGTTTTAAAGATCTTTCCACACTAGTCTTTGACAACATGCATTTTTTGTATTTGGTTTCAGTTTCTCAGGGCCAATTGTTTTTCCTGGAATTAACCCCTACCCTAACCCTAGGGCTAGGGTAAGGGGGACCTTAGGCTTACTCTCAGGGTCGAAAATTTTTTATCTTAACAATTTTTAGAGATTTTTCCCTAGACGTGTTCGACGTTACGCATCTTTTTCGTTTGGTTTCAGATTCTTAACGCTAATTGTTGTCCCTGGAACCAACTCTGTTCCTTCTCAGTCAATAAGTACATAGAGTATTTTTTAAAGGACTTTGAAATAGCTACTAACCTAATAGATGCTAGTAGACCCAAAATCTAACGTTTTCTTTTGTTAACATATGGCTATTACACAACATGACCTGTATATGGCGTCCACAAGGCGATTTGAAACCGGGCCACATTGGTGGGAGGTGAGTGCTCTCACCACTGCGTTATCCTTGCTCCCGCTGTCGGTTAACGGGTAAACTGACATAAAATAAGGACCAGCGATGCCAGTGCCGTGGGAAGTCCTTGCCGACTCTGAAGCAAACTTGGTCAGTGGTATTTGAGGGATCAACCCTCCTCCTCAGTCTGTTTTGCTGTTGATTTGGTTAAGGTTTCCAATTGAGCAGAACACTTTTTAGACCGGTGTAGTAATTACACTGACGTACTCATTACAGACGGCAGTTCATCGCATCATGATAAAAATGGAAGGTAATTCACTATTTAAAGTAAGACTGAATTAAAACAAATTCTGGAAATAATATGCTCTCTGTATTTTTCAGGACCCTGTGGGGTAATAGGGTGAAAATTCAAATTATCAGCATTTTTTATTCTCGACTGAGCACAATTTTCTCCTGTATGCGTACGATGATATCCTAGTTCAATCGTCTGGACCTTGACTGCCAAAATTTCACTGCAAGACATAAATAAAATCCTTATCTGTGTAGCTTTAGTCAGTTAAAAAATTAAACCAAGCATTTAAAAATTCACGACGCTAGTGCTGGTTAGCTGTTGTGGAGTGGGTATCAGTGTTTAAAATGACCTGTCACCTGTCAGCGGGAGTTAAGCAAATTATTAGCTACGATAGGGAATAGGGAATATATCACATATATTATGACTAAAGGTTTTGTTACCAATGATAGCACCGACCGTTGAAAATGGCAAAGACTGTTTACAAAAGGGAAATAGGCCGCGCCGATCGAGTCGATTAAGCTGAGGCCTGGGAACGATAAAGCGGACTACAAGATAGCTCACCTCAAAGTTGACCTGAGGTACAAGCGGATCAATAAAGGTTGCTGGGAAACTGCTCATCTACCCCTCCCCTAAGCATTAACACATTACATCAACACTTACTTCTCACTTTGGGCAAAATGATGGCTTAGGGGAGGGGTAGGTGGACAGTTCACCAGAAACCTAATTGATCCACTTTCTCTTCTAAATAAGGTATAACTATCCTAAGTATCGTCTAAGCTGCCGTTAAGTCAAAACCTATACGATGTCCTAGCCTTGGATAGCTTCCACCTATAGAACTGGGATACGAGAAAGCTGCCTCGTCCCCAGTCTCTCGCGATCACTTTTTTCGGGGATATTTGAGTTAATGAAAGCTCTGCGCTCGTTCCCATCATGCCCCTCTCGCACTTCTCGCTTATCTGCTTGAGCGGAAAATTATTACTATTAGAAACTAGCGTTTGAGAAAAAGGTGCAAAACAACAGCAACATACCTCAAAGAGAATGACTGATCGAATGCTACAGTAAAAAAAGAAAAGGAAGTTGTCAGCGAACTGTTCGGAATAAACATAATTTTTATCTTCATTTGGGTTTGACGTCTTTAAAGGAACAGATCCTCATCAACAACGTCTATTAAGTGGGAAAGATGTTTCTCAGTCAGTGAAACAGGCAGCTCCAAAGAAAAAATCCGAGTGCTACCAATAGGACTGTCAATGACTGAATAAACATCTTCCTCAAGTATTTACCACGCTTGAAATTCGCTGTCACTTAAGTTATCACGATCAACATTCTAGGAGTTTATTCCAAAAAATAAGATAATAGTAAACTGATAATTTTGCATACCTTTCCCCAGCACGCATGAGATCAAATGCTTTATTTATATTATCTAGAGACATTCTGTGGGTAATGAGTTTATCCAGATTCAAACGTCCAGCCAGGTATTCCTCACATAATCTAGGAAACAGTTCCTTAGCTACAGACCCTAAAAAAATATGCATCTCATTTATTCTTCGAAAATATATTAGCAACGAGCTTGGGGATAAGTGACGTAAGTAAAAGCAATCCACAAGGATCAGGATAAGCATGTAGTCGGATTAGTGTTGTTTCTCGGGAAAAAAATTTGTTCTCAAACTTATTTAGAGGACTGCTCGCTAACGCAGAGGGGGTCCATGGGGTTCGAATCCCGTTGAAGTCCCGAAATACTTACGGGTAAATTTGCAATTGCTTAAATTACAATACCACTGCGACGATCATATCTTATTAAAATTTGTATTTCCTTAGTTCACATTATCTTCATTCTATGTTTCATTCCTTTCACGGGTTAAGATGAACTCAACAAATAGGCCATTTCCGAGTTCCAAAAAATCTCACTTTCAAAGCGACACTAAGTGCGAAGCCATTGATACGAAAATGATTTTTAAAGGAACAGTATCCCGTTATTGCGCATGCACCAAACTTTGATTTTTGGACAGGATGTCGCGAAATCAAAAGATGCGAGGAGAGTAAGAGAATCTTGAAAAATCCGTTTGCATCGCGCTTGGCCGGGTTCAATACGACACTAAAACTTCTCAGGATTATAGATCATTGATATATTGTTCCTGTTAAGTTTCGATTTGGGCAAAATCTGGATTTTTTGGCGTTACCTTTATTGCCGTTGGCCGGAGGACCAAAAGATTGGAAGCACTTTGATGCCGATTGAAGGCTTATTTCTTCTGCTAGCTTCCATACAAGCTCAGATAATTGTGAAAGGAATACGCAGAAATGAAAGAGCAACAATAAAGACTGTAAGAAAGAATCTGTTGACACATTGATGCGACTGAGGAGATCTTGTGGAGGGGAGCTTCGTGAAGCAGAATGTTTTGCAACGACGCGTTAGCAAACTTTTAAATGAATCTCCCTACGGCCGACAAAATCGAACAAACAGGCGCTACATGTTTTGAAAAACTAGTGACATGAAATCATAATATCATTTTTGACTAACCTTTGTGATGATTCATAGCGTTGAGATTGCATTTTTATTTATGTCTTTCAAACGTTTGAGGCTAGAACGCGAGCAAATCAGGCAGATATTACTGGACTTGGAACGATTGACCTCTGACACGAGTTTCAAATTAGAAAATATGTTTTTAAAGCGAGCGGAACGAGATTTTCGGGTCGCGAGGAGGCCCAGTTAGCGATAAAATCGCGATGAGTCTTCGAACCGCGAGCCAAATTTTTATATAAGACGAAAGACTTCTTCGAAAGTCTAAAATATTACTTGAGAATATAAACAACAAATCTCTGTCGGCGGTGCGGTCCGGAAGGAAATCTTGTCGAGTCAATTTGACAGTTCTATTGTCTTTTGAAGAAAAAACAGATGACGCTCGCGCGTGCGCATAATCGGGACACTGTCCCTTTAATTATGATGCAAACAAAACTCATTTTCACAACAAAGGTTTCGCACTTAGCCTCGTTTTGAAGGTGAGATTTTTTGGAACTCGCAAATGGCCTACTGGCCTGCTCCTAATCATGGGTCTTCATAGTTCAGTTGGTAGAGCACTGCAGCGCTAACGCAGAGGCCGTGGGTTCGAATACCATTGAAGTCCCGAAATTTTTTCGGGTTAATTTGCAATTGCTTATATTGCATATACCACAGCGACGATCATATCTTCATTTAAATTGTGTAGAAGTCTACCTTGTACGGAAGGAGGTTATCTTGACGGTTGGACTAAATAGTATGGTCATTTACCGCATATGGGAGTTCTTTTTTCCTCATTAAACGTCGCGCCCACTTTTTTCTCTTAAGCATTCAACAAACCTCCCACTTTTGAACCTTTCACAGTCCGCCCACTCAGCAGTTTCCAAGGATTTATTGTCAGATCACGTTTTGTTCCTATTCCAATGATCACAGTCGTTCCCCATGCCAGGTGACTAGATTCAAAGGCTGCTTCCTTCGACAAAACATAAGACTCGGATATGTACTGTTAATGACGTATCGCTAGTAAAATAAACGATATATAGGATCGACCTCGTTTTATCGCTAGTTCAAGAGTGCTAAACGTCATAACTCTCCAAAGCCTCAAATTCTATCTTCAGTGATAATATATAATAAAAGAAGATAATTTTGCTTTGTTTTGCCAATCAAGGCCCGAGGAGAATTTCTTTGTCTGTTCGTAAATTATAGGTACATATTCAAGGGAATAACACAAAACTTGAAAGAAACTGTTCTCTGGAGTCTAGGGGAAAAAAGAACACCTGATCGGAGGTTATACTTAAGAGAACAACAAATCGGAGAAAGAAACCCCGCTTACCATCGTTTCAGCATGGCCAATACATTCAAATGTGTAGTCCAGGCCACCGTCGGTCATTACTTTTAAGATCTGCGAGAATTAAACATCAAAGCATCAAAGGTTATACTTACGTATATTAAGGGAAAACAAAGTTTTTACGTTTTCCATAAGAATTAAAAAAGAACTATTGGTAAGTGAAATAACAAAAATGCTCAGTTTGTTAGGGGTTTCTCTAAATATTTCATAAAGAAAAAGTGTTAAGGTACAAGTATCTGGAAAGGGAATTTTCACAGTGGCTCCTCTACATTGTATGTACACATTGAGCATAATAAGTGCTAGTTTATTACCTGCTGAATAGGCTTGGTGTGATCATTAGGATTAAAACATTCAGTGCAGCCCAAATCTTTGGCTAAATAAAAAGAGGTAAATATCCGCTCAGACTATCCATTCATTTCGCAGGATACTGGCAAGAAAAAGGTACAATCAATTTGATTTGTCTTTCGGGATCAGTTAACAGGGAATTAACGATGAGGAGGAGTCCAGTTTTGAAGTCTTTCGTGGTGATGATTTCAACTTGATTTATATGCATATGGTGGTAGAGTTAACTCAGTTGAGAAGGCGCTGGCCTGGAGCGCGGAATGTCGCGGGCACCATTCCTGCGACCGGGCTATTATTCAGAGTCTTGGAAGTAAATCAGGGGAAGGGTATTGCGTCATCACCAGTTTGCAAACTGTTAAGCTCGGCTAGAACTTCGCGCAGATCGCGGACCGTCTCGAAGAGAAGACGTAAAAATCGAAACCCCAAACAGCAGATGTACGCTAAATACACCGACACTTAAATGACGTTTTTCATAAAATCCCTTTCAGACCTTACTACAAGTACACTTCCCTCTTTACTTCGCCCAATAGTTTCGAAATCTTATGTCGCATAGAAATTAAATCAGACCAGCATTTTCAATTATTCTATGGAATATCGAGACAAATTATAGGAAGGCATCGATCCCTGTCAGGAGCCCCTAACACGGAGCGAGTAAACCCCTCGTACCCATGCAACAGCGTTCTTACAAACCAGTTAATTTTAGATCGATTTCGCAGCAAATTTTGAATATGAAATAAGTCTTACAAATCAGTCAACAAAAACCGGAAACTAAAAAAATAAATGTATATCTCATGTTTTGATAGCATTTATTTCTTCTTTTTGCTATCGTACTATCTTGGATGCGCACGCATATGGAATGGTGCTTCCGCGGCAAAAAGAGCTTAAAATGAAGTGAAAACGCTGTTGCTTATACTATTGGATTTGCTTACTCTGAGTTATGGGCTGCTGCTCCTATTGGATGAACTCGCACAAGCACGTGTACAAAAGTAAAGAGAGTTTTTCATGACGATAATCCTTAATTCTACTGTAAACATAGAAGGTTTAAACTAATGCCTAACCTATATCGAATTTTTCAGCTTTAATATCAATCCCAATGATCCTTGCAGCCCCAGCAGCCTTACACCCCATTACTACAGATAATCCGACTCCTCCCAGGCCCCACACGGCCACTTTGGACCCAGCCTCTACCTAAAAAGAGAGCACATGTCATTAATTTTTATTTCCAAACTTAGTAAAGAAAAACAGAGAAAGTCGTAGAATAGAGATAAGTGTCCGTAAGTAAGTCGTTATACAAAGAGAAATTCAAAGGAAGGTTTCCAGCCCGGGAAGAGGGTGGGGGGTGGGGGGGGGGGGGGGGAACTCC